CTAAGTTGTATGGAAGCCTTAATTGACGAGGATCCAGGACTGTCGGACTAGACCTACCTTTTCCAACGTCAGGTACAATATAGCGAGTCCTGCATGCAACTTTCATGACGAAATTCAACTTGGTAGTTTAGCATATATTTGGCCAGGTTATTTTGACCAACTGAATGTATTTAATAATTAGAATGGTTTTAGTTCGGAAAACTGCCCTCTTAATTAAGGTTATGGAGCGAACTCTCTGGACCTTAATCCCATTGAAAATCTATTTGCTTTAATCAAGAGAAACTGGGAGAAGCCAGCGAAACGTGTCAATGGAGCAGAAGTCGGAGTTTGTGCTTAATAACTGTATAAACCAAGCCACAATTTACAACTTCGTTGTGTCTATGTCCTCCCGACTTACTGCTTTTTGAACGCTAAAGGACAATCCATGAAGTATTAGTATGTTACATATTTATTAATTTTCCTTATTTTGTACTTTTATCTTTTTTTCCTATACTGGTGTCAGTTTTATAAGGGCTTAAATAATTGAACTGTCGTACACTCATTTTTTCGATTTGACAGTTTTCGATCAAACAAATTAGTTCTCACTTAGTAAATGATACTTTATGAATCCAAATATGCTTTCCTTTTAAGATGTATTGTTCCTTTAACCCATTACCTCCCATAATTTTAACCACTTTGATTTTTGTTATGAAACTTGGATACCTATGGTAAAAAAGCGTGAGAAACACGATGAAATAGTCAGAATTTCATTTTAAATAGAAATAAACGAGATATTAGGGGATCTCATATGAGATCACTGGGATGATACGTATGCGTATATACAGACAGATAATTACGAAAGCTCTTAATTTTTAAGTGATCTCATACGAGATCACCGAGAGGTAATGGGTTAATGTAATATTGATTGTGTGTCCGTGGTGTAAACGCTCTGCGAGCTACAAGGGTTTTCATACAACGTTGACGGTTTTGCATGCAGGAGTCGCCATACTGTATTTTGTGAATATACACGACTTAACTGCTACGAATATAGAGCACAACTACTGACAAAAAACGAGCGTGTCTGTGTTACCAGCAGTCAATTTCACAACTTTCGAACTTACTGTCCTCCCATAAAGGCAGACCCACTTCGCTTCGTGACAATCCTATTGCCATAACTTCGAAATTCATTAGTCAGCTTCAATTTGTGGCTGTTCAACTAAGTGTACAGTGGCTAGACTTCGTTAAATATTCGAGTGTCGGCTGCAAGGGACGACCAATAAGCCAGGGGTACCAGTGCGAAAGGACTAAGAGTCAGTCATCTTTCAATAGTTCCACTGCTAATTGCATTCTACCCTTATGTTTAAGGTACAGTAACTTCCTGAGAGCTGTCACCAATATGAGCGACTCAGTATGTTCGTCGGTCATACCTTCTACGTAACAGAAGTT